CCAGCTCGCCGAGCTCGACGAGGTGGCGCGGGCCCAGTCCAGCTTCGGCGATCTCGCCGGCCTCCTTGAGCGCGCCGTCGAGCGTGTCCACGACGACGACGCCGCCCTCGACGGCGTGCTTGTGGTAGTGTACGTGGGTCTTGTCGGGCGTCTTGGTGGCTTGGCGCAGCAGCTCGGCCGGCAGCTCGCGCATCTCGTGCGTGTAGGAGCCAATGGCCACAATCAGGCGGCCGCGGCGGCGGCCCTCGTGGTTGGTCAGGACACGGTGGTCAAACAGAGGTTCGGTCGAGGGCGTGCAGCAGAAGATGACGTCGGAGCTGCGCAGGTTCTCGGACAGGAGACGTTCGTAGTCGTTGTAGCCCGTGGTGAGGATGCTGAACTTGGTGTCGGAGGCCCAGCCCTCGCGCTCCTTGACGGCCGTGGCCATCTTGTAGAAGCGAGCGACAAAGGCGCGCGACGAGTCGAAGCGGCGGCTGATAATGTTGACGTGGCGGATCGTGTCGCCGCGCAGCAGCAGCGCCAGGCGGACGTGCCAGTAGGCCTGCTCGCCACAGCCAAAGACGGTGATGTTCTTGACGGTGTCGCGGCGCTGCAGCAGACAGGCCGAGGCCAGCGCCGTGCGGAAGGCCGTCAGCGTGCTGGCGTGCAGAATGCCAATGGGGTTGCCCGTCTCGGAGTAGAGCGTAAGGGCGCCCGTCGGCCGGATGTTGGCCTTGGCCTGCGTGCCCACGGGTGGCGGCAGCGTGTCCTTGCTTGCTTTGGAGAGTGTAATCACTATATCGACGGACATGCATGTTAGCATGGGAAAAAAACTATCGTCTCGACAAAAACCAATCTCCAATCTCCCACCTACCCTTCATACCCAGTCCCTCCGTGCTGCACGACGGCATAAACAGCGTTGTGCAGCCGGTGACGGGCGACGTCACGGAAGTCCGCGGCGGTTGCTGGATGTCGCCATCCTGAACACTCTGGGTGCCGGTCGAGTACTCGTAGAGGGCCTGCTTCAGGACGCTGCGGAACGACTCCAGCTCGTCAAAGGTGAGGTAGTTGAGAAGCTCGGCAATCTCGTCATCCTTGAGAATCGTGAGCGACATGGTGGCGTGCCGGTGCTGTCGTGCTTGTGTCTGCCGTCGTGGAACTGTAGATACGGTTGCCACTGGTGATGATTCGACCCAAGGTTGTTGTCTGCCGGTTTGCCTATGTAAGTGCAACGTGCACAGGGCTGCCCTTGGGCAAATAGGCCGTGTGTCAGAAAGTGTGCTGGGCGAGCGGAGTTGTCGGGGTCGGGCAGTCGGAACAGAATCGGCGAAGCTACTTTTCAAATAAAAAGTCGGGGAAAAGCCGAGATCAGATGGATGCTCTGTTCTCTACTACAACTGCAATCGTATATCAGCAGACCAGTAGAGAGCCAAATCGAAGACTATGGCTGGGATGTCGAAGCTGTGTTCTGCCCCTCTGGCGTTGTCGCGTGTGGATAGATGAGAGCAGTGAGTGCGTCACCATGGCGAACCGTTTTGTTTTTTTGTGAACTTTCGCCACACGGGAATTAGCTCTCTGCTATACGGAGTTGATGCTGGGCTGCAGTGGATGACACAAGCGCTAAACCGGCCCTATCTTTTGACAAGTCTGGCAGGCGCAACCATGCAGTCTGCGCGTTCTTGCCTCGCATGGTGGGGTTGTGACGTGAGAGGAAGGGCCAAGCGGCGGGGAGGTCTGTGAAAGGAAGGAACGAGAGAGGCAAAATGGAAGGAACGAGAGAGCAAAACAGCTCCGCGGAACGGAAGGAGCAAGGGAACTTCAATTGTACTTGAATGAGAGTGCAGGATCGATCAAGAAGGTCGAAATGGTAAAACAAAGTGCAAGAAGGAGAGGTGGAACCGTTTTCATCAGTGGGGTATCATCAGTTTGTCGAGGAAAGTGGCAACTGAGTGAGCTCTGGCCGTATATGCATACGTGTCTTAGCTTACAGGGCGGAAGCTGAGGAAAGCAACCGGGAGGCCATCTTGGTAAAAGAGAAAGGGGACGGCAGCAAGCAAAACGTAGAAAGCACCTTGGGCAAAAGGCGTTGTCTGGTGATCGACGGCGCAAGTCGAGATCATTGGCTGTGAACATAACGACGGCTCTTACATCATATGGCTTCGAGCTGGAAAGAAACCTACTCACCGCTGACATCGAGGAAATGCAAAAGCAACCAAACTCAATTACATATGCTCTCCCCAAGTCTACCTGGCGTGCTAGGAAAGTATGTATGCCGAAGAACCGGGAGAAACAGAAGACAAAAACAAGAACGATAAGAACAGAGGCGACAGCCAAATCGCTTCGCTGCACATGACATATAGAAGGGCCTCGATCTCGCTGCACAGAATGGATGATGCTTCGCTCCGATAAAACATAAAAGCAGTGCAAGAGAACAGAGAAGACCTCAAAATCGTACAAGACATGAGAAATCGACATGACGATCAAATCACGCGAGCCGAACCCAATCCGGCCACCATATGTATGCTCTAGCCACCCCAACTCTACTCCGGCAATGGGGACGCCAGACAGCGGAGACCGACCGGAACCGCATTTCAACGCCACCAAGAAGACTCCGAAACGGATCAAAAAAAAGATGCGAGCACCGCATCATCGGATGGCCATGGAGGCGTTGCCGGCACGGAAGACGAGCATGCCGTGGTTGCCACGCACCACCTCTTCGCCGCCAAAGATGCCGGCGCTCTTGCCGGTGCCGTAGCCCAGGTCCCGCACGCGGCCGCTGGGCAGATCGAACAGGCAGCCGTGGACCTCGAGCCCGCGCTCCTTGATGGCCTCCTGGATGACGACGTTGGCCAGCAGCACCTTGACCCCGGCCTCGACGTTGAGCTCGGCCATGCGCACGGCGCGGACCTTGTCGTCGCGGATGGCCGCCAGCTCCTCGGAGTGGGCCGCACGCAGTGCTTTGAGCGGCGTCAGCCACGTGTCGAGCACGCCACCGACACGGGAGTCGCTGAGCGCGGCAACGGAGCCGCCGCAGCTCGAGTGGCCGCACAGGACAATGTATTTCACTTTGAGGTGGACGACGGCGTACTCAATGACGGCGGAGGTATTGATGTCGGTCGGTGAGATGATGTTGGCGATGTTGCGGTGGACAAAGACGTCGCCGGGTTGCAGGCCGAGGATGGTGGTCTCGGGACACCGAGAGTCGGAGCAGCCAAGCCAGACTGGAGGACGCGGGGTTAGTACACAGTCTCATGCCAGGTGTGCCCTTTTGTTTTCCAGCGACTGCTTCCAGTGCTGGTTCCCAGTGGCAGCTTGTTGGCAACAACTTACGAAACTTTGGTGACTGTCCACTGGCCAAGTTGGGAAAGAAGCTCGGGTTTTGGTGTGCCTTGTAACTAGCCCAGGCCGCGTTGGAGCTCAATGCATAGCTGAACGAGCTCTCTGGAAAGACCAGTCAGTATGAGACGCATTGGTGAGAGTGTCGGTTCTGGATCGTTTAACATACGCTTGCTGTCCGCCATTGTGAGGTGTGAGGTAAAAGTCGAAGCCTAGACTGGTCCGAAGTGACCGAGGTCGGTGAAATTGCAGTCGTACTGTGTCGTCCAATATTGTCGAGTAGGCGAAAATGGCATCAGAAGACGAGAAGCGGTTGAGACGAGAAAAGGCCAGCTCGGCCTGTACTACGTAGATATTGATGAATAAAGGGAGAAATAAAATACAAAGGGAACAAAAGATGGAAAGTATAAACTGTGAAAGGGGAAATAAAAGGGAAAGAGAGCAAAACTCACCCCATCGGAACAATGCAGGACCAAGACCTTGTGGGTGAGGCGAGCAAGGGGGTGGTGGGCGTGCGTGAAACAAATAAGGCTAAAAAGGCAAAGAGACAAGGAAATCGGCGGGCTGAGGCAGACCAAAAGAAGGACTTCTCCGTAGAAAAAGGAACTGGGCCAGGAATGGGCAGGTGATGCCACACGCAGGTGGAGGGATTAACAAATGCGGCGACACCACCAGACGAGACATACGGGGTTGTGAAAGTGACAGCACAGATCTCGTCGACAGTTACAGGAGGTTCCACGCCAGAGGAATACTCCGATGGGACGAGGGTGTGTACGAGGGTGACGGAAAGGGTGCGAGGGATTTTGAGAACAGACACAGGGGTGTCGCGTGTGTAAGTGCTGTAAGAGTATTGGGGGAAGGGGTGTAATGGAGAGCAGCGGTCGATCCGACTGGCTCCTTTCTATTTCTGTTCTTCACAGTGCTCTTCTTCCGTCGTTCCTATTTTCGTCTCGTTGTCTTGGGAGTGGTGCTCGGTCAAAATTCCAGTGTTCCCTGAATGTTGTTGACAGTACGAAATATCTCTTTTGCTTTTGTTCGCGCAGTTTTTGTTTTTCTCGTCTCGAATACCTTGGGTTTATTTGTTTTGTTTACATGGCCATTCTCAGGCCCGTCTGGAAAATGAGTGCCGCATCTTATGCAGGTTGTCACCCGCTCGTGTGAGATAACGCAACAGTTAGAGTTAGTCCAGGTGTAGGGAATGGGGGTGGATGAGAAGGCGAAATAAAAGAATAACAACAAAATGTCAGAAGGTGCGGAACGAAGAGCGCAAATGCCCGGGTGCCTTGGAAATGTATTTGAGCGAGATGCTGGACTGCTTTTGGAGCTCGGTGAATTTGAAAAGGCATGCATAACAGGGCACTGCGTTGTTAGACGAAAAGAGGATGGCAAAGATGGAATAAAGGCGTGTTATTTTTCTGCCTCGAGGTTGCATTGAGGATGCCGTTTGGTGCCGGCCAGAGCTGTAGATTTTAAGGAAGGTGCAAGCGGTGCACGTCAAGAAGAGAATGTGGAAGGCGCGATTTTGCTGCACCCAGTTCAAGAGTTATCAAATTTTGGCGAGAAATCGCATAATGCGAGTGAGATAGACAGCACAATAGCTACACACAGCACACGTGGACCAGGCAGCATGACCACAGATGCAATGGAGAGAAGTGGGGAGAGAAGAGACCGGAAGAGGGAAAGACATGGCGAATGGAAAGACCGGCGAGGCTTTGGAGAAAGGAAGCAGAGCCGTAAATCTGGTTCCTGGCAAGGGCGTCTTCACAGATATGGGATGCCACGACGTAAACGGCATGGTATCATCAGATGCAGGCGCCACCGTCCTCGCGTATGACGGCGCAGAGATGCCCTGTGCTCGTGTTTGTAGCAGTGATTCCGGGGCCTGCTGGGAGGACCGTTTAGTGAAACAGACGATTTAGGTCTGCTACGTCCCATTGTCGCCCCTGCCTTTCATCCCCATCGACCTACGACACGCTGAGGACGGGGAAGGAAATCCCTGGTCGGTGTGCATCAGACGCAGAGAGGCAGAATTAGATGCGGCGGCAGCAGCAGCTGAAACTCGTCTGTGTACATCATGTCCGGGGTAATCGTCAACAACTAGAAACTGCACGTATCGCCCATCTCCTCTTGATATTAGCTTGTGGCGATCCCCCTTTCATTGCGGCCGGTCGGAGAAAAACGTCTATTGAAAAGGTGGCGAGTCTGGCCACGCCAGAAAAGTGTGTTGGTTACGGGGTCACATATCAGAAAGCAGAAGACGGAAAACAGCGGCCCCCTAAAGTAAACACTACACGATGTGAGGACGTGGTTGGCGGGTTGGCGCAAGTGGGACGTTTCTCAGAGTAGGTCGCAATCATAAGTTTTAGTAGCTTACCGCATCTAGGGAAAAGTGCACTAGCCAAGTCGGGTTTTTTATTTCATTGTTGCCCTTCTAGGCGCCAGATAATAGAATATGGTCACACAGCCCAGTGAAGGAGTGCATCAGCGGGGCAACGAGGGGAGATGCGGCAGAGTTTTGTTGAGGTTGAGGAACGAGACTGCCTGGAGCACTTGTTGCCGTGGGTAAGACGGTCTCGCCAACCTCATGAGGGTGGGTGCACGTCCATGTAATACCATGCAGCGCACTCTGTGCTATCCCGAGGCAGCCTCGGAAGTGACATCCAACAGAAAAAGACCAGGAGGAATGAACAAAAGAAATAGCAACCGCCAGCAATGGGAGACGAGCAAGGCGTCAACTTCAACAGTCCGGTTTCTCCTGTCTCATTTTTGTGACACCCTACCGTCGATCGGTTGGCTTCCCTCACACTATTCCGTGCTCCGGCCATCTGTGTCCGTTACAGAGCCCAGGGAGCTATCTGTGCACTTGTGCCATTTGGTCGGCCCTTGTCGCATTCTCAGCTTTCCCCTTTTCGAAACAGGGCATTCTCGCTGAATTCGCATCCCAGGGCATCACGTCCTAGAACAAGGCAGCCGCTGCGCAGCGCACCACCATGAGTTCCTTCCGTTTACAGCACACAACATACAACAGCACTCCCCACGCCAAGTCTCCACTGTATTTAGCACTATCGTCTTTCTTGACGGCATCACTCAGATTTGTCCACTTACCCCCACGTTGCCCTTGCCGTTTACGATATGATTGTTGACTGCCAGTGCTATTTCTAGATGTCACCTGACATTTGCACGCCGTTACGGAGTTCCAGAGACACATCCTTGTGCTTTGCTTATTCCATCCCTGAATGCATCAGATACACCATAAACCCAACGCGGCCAGACACGCATCCACACCCTCCTGTTAGGAATGCCAGTGAAGTCCGTACCTCTTATCCCTGCACTCGGCCTCCTTGTCAGACACTCACCACCCTCACTCCGTAGCTGATATCCGGTCTCGCAGAAGTTTGTGGCTCAGGCTCTAGAATGCACAGTGGCAGATGCGGCAGCACAGGGTGCAGAAGGGATAAGAACATGCCACTCACAAACATTTTCTTGGCTCTCTCGGACGGACAGTATGCCTTCCATCCGGTATCGAGACTGACGCCTGAAGGGTGACGACCATGGGTCCACGACGCACGTCAAACAGCTTGGCACTTGACTTTGTCGTTCATTTGTGCAGAGTGCGACATACAGCATTACGTACGTCGTATGTATCCTCGTCTATTTTGTACATTGTGCCCGTCGATTTGGCCGCTTCACATATCACAAATGCCACGAATACGAACAGTGGTAACGTGTATGACTTCTTTTCTCTTCTTTTGTTTGTTCCTTTTGCAATTTTTATTTTGCTTTTCTGCCTATAAAATCGTGTTTTGGTGACCAGGACGCCAGGTGGTCCCGATGTGGGAACAGCACCGCTCGCATGCGAAACGAGAAAAACGAGGAAAAAGAAGAAGATTCGTCATAGAAACGTCAAAAAAGAAGGCGAGGTGTAAGAGTGACCAACAAAAGACCAGCCTCGCGCTTACACCTTGATGGCGGACTCCAGAGCCTTGCGCTTCTTCTCGGTGCGCTTGTTGGCCTTGTCGCCCATGATACCACCACCCCACCGCTTGCGCGCCTCCTCGTTCTTCTCCAGGTAGCCCTCCTTGACGGCCGAGACGAGCTTGCTCAGCTCGGTCTTGTCCTCGGAGCGGACCTCGGTCAGGGCCAGGACAGCGGCCGTCTTCTTGTGCACGACCGTGCCAAGGCGGGCCTTGCCCTTGATGATGGCGTAGGGGACGCCCATCTTGCGGCACAGAGCCGGCAGGAAAACAACGAGCTCAATAGGGTCGACATCGTTGGGGATCAGGACGAGCGAGGCCTTCTTGTTCTCGACGAGGCCGACAACGTGGTTCAGGCCGTACTTGACGGTGTAGGGCTTCTTGCTGACGTCCTCCTTCTTCTTGCCCTCCTTGATGGCGGTGGCCTCCTTCAGCAGGCGCTCCTTCTTCTCGGCCTTGGTCTCCGGGCGGTACTTGTTGAGCAGCTTCAGGGCCTGGGCGGCCGTGTTGCGGTCCAGGACGTGCTGGAACTGGGCCAGTGCTGGGGGCACCTTGAGGCGCAGGCCGAGGATCTTCTTCTGGCGCTGCTGGCGGACGTACTCGGGCCACTTCACCATGCGCGACAGGTTGCGGCGGGGTTGGATGTCCTGGCCGATGCCGTAGTTCTTGGGGCGCTTCTCAATGAGAGGGTTCTGCAGCGAAAGGGTCAGACAGGTGTCGGTGAGGATGACAAAGTGCCAGGCGTGGGGAGAAGAGTACTAACCTTGGGAGCCTTCTTGCCAGCGCGGGACTGGGGGAAGGGGGCCGGAGCGGCCTTCTTGCCGGTAGCTTTGGGTGCCTATCATTGAGAAAAAAAGAATCAGCATGTGTGATCTTTTTTAAACTCTAGTAGAGCATCGAACCTGTATGCGAAACGATAGAGGACGTAGAGAGAGACATGAGTGTGACAAGGGGACGAGGCCGGCGTTTCTGCTCAGCCAATGTCCTCTTTCTTCATCTCATACGTCCTCGCCAGTCATATCGCCGCATCATGAGGTCGAGCGGCTCAGGCCAATTCATCACCGGATTGTGTCGCCACCGCTCTCATGCCAGTGTACATTTGCTCTCTTCCTCTTTCGAGACGAAGTGAGGCAAAGGCAAGGCCGAAGAGAGGAAGCTGGACAACCAAGCGGAAATTTGGGTTGCTCAGGTTGGTTGAACTGAATCACTCAGCCTGGCCGTTCTGCGCAATGAAGCGCATACTAAGCAGAAGCACTGTTCGCAGAAATCGACCGAAGCCATCAAAGTCAAATGCTTACCATTGTGTCGAGATGTTGTCGTGCTGTCGTTGGTGATGAGAGACGTGAAGAAAAAGAGGAAGGGGAAAAATAACGAGCCTTGGAAACGTCGAAAAGATTTCCCTAATAGTCGAACCCAACCCCATTAAAAAAACGTACGCTAGTTGGGCCAAAAATGTCGTGCGCAAAAAAAACTAGGGTTGGAGGGGCAGAAAGGTGCGGAAAAATTGATTGACCGGAAAATCTGTGCTCTGTTCGGAAAAACTCTTTATGACGCTAAAGTTGCTCATTGACGCCTTGCCTTTTCGGGCTTACAAGCGCGGGCAGCCATTTTTGGTAGCCTTTGCAGTGAGCGTTGTACTTTGAACTTGCAGTTGTACAAGCCCCACTACCTTTAGGCCGATTTCGCAATGCGGCGACAACTTTTTGCAGGAACAACCAAAACACCATCACCGTCACCGTCACCCCGGCGCAGACTCTGGACATCTGACCCCTCTGGCTCGATCCACACCCATCGTACGGGGGCCTATTGTCGTCTGTCACAATGACTGCTTTGGTACGTTCAGCTGACGCGGCGCAATTCCCTGTCGTTGAGCGGCCTGACTGACTCACGTGGGTAGCGGAGGGCCATTGCTCTCGATGATGCTGTCACCGTCGTCGCGCGGCACCAGATTCGGACCGTCGTTGCCCGCCTTCGACCGCTTCCTCTCGCCGTCGTGTCCCGTTCCCAGTCTCGCCGCTGCGCGACAACTTCCCCGCGACGACAGCAGGCCTTCCACTCGCAGCTCGATAGCAGTACCGGTGCCGAGCGTTTCCAAACCTCCCCTAAGCCCGCCACTCCGCCGGCGGTTCCCCAAACCCTCACCGAAAAGCTTGTCCAGCGTCACTCTGTCGGCCTTGCTGCCGGGAAGATAGTCAAGAGCGGCGACTATGTCACTCTGTTCGTACCCTTGAGCCTTGCTACACCTAAAGGTTGCCCCTGGCTAACCTTCTGCGAAGACAACCAGCCAAATGCATGAGCCATGATAATTCTTGGCCTGTGGCCCTGAAGTTCATGAACATCGGCGCCACCAAGATCCGCGATCCCAGCCAGATCGTTATGACGTTGGACCATGACGTGCAGAACAAATCAGAATCGAACTTGACGAAGTATAGACAGATTGAAGAGTTCGCCGGCAAGCAAGGCGTTGACTTGTACGTGTTTCTAGAAGGGTAGAGTCTGAACGAGGCTTGCGCTAACATCGTTTTTCAGCTACCCTGCGGGCCACGGGATTGGACACCAAATTATGGTTGAAGAGGGTGAGCACATCGTCCGCACCCCTTAGGATTGTTGGACGACTCATTAACAGTCTGATCAGGATACGCCTGGCCGTCAACAGTCGCGGTTGCGAGTGACAGCCATTCAAACATGTACGGAGCGATTTCGAGTCTTGGTGAGTTGGATCGAACCCTCGCACGACATGGACCCAGGGTCAAGAGACTAATACGGTGAAGGAACCCCGATTGTCAGAACGGATGCGGCCAGTGTCTGGAGTACTGGATGTACCTGGTGGCAGATTCCCCCTGTGGCCAAGATAGTAAGTCAACCATCCGCGTTTTCCCAAAACCTTCAGGCCCTGCGTTCTGCCAAGACGTGCTGGCGTCTGTGCTCTGCAATACTATTCAACTCCCGGTTGATTTTTCAAGTGGTACGAGGTAGCTGACACGTTTCGTAGACTTTTACTGGTGTGCTTCCCCCAGGTGTCACTGGCAAGGATGTAATTGTCGCTTTATGCGGCCTCATTAATCAGGATGAGGTTCTCAATCACGCGATTGAATTCACCGGTTCCGAACTGACAATGGCAAGCATCCCCATCGACGATCGCTTGACCATTGCCAACATGACAACTGAGTGGGGTGCATTGAGTGGTGAGCTATGCTGGAAGATGACGAGGTGTTTTGGGTTTACTCTTGGGGCTGACATTTGATGTAGGACTGTTCCCTGTTGATGAGGTGCTCATCTCCTGGTATCGTGCCAAAGCCACCACTGCCGCCTTGTTGGACAGTCCCACTAAGGCCCGTATCAACCACGAGCGGATTGATCAGATGGTGGGGGACCGAGAGGTTGCTGATCCCGGTGCCACATACGCCAAGGAGTTCTATTTGAACTTATCCACCCTGTCTCCTTTTGTGGCTGGCCCAAACTCTGTGAAGATTGCCGCCCCCCTGAGGAATCTCGAGGCTCAAGATATTGCCATAGACAAGGCATTTCTCGTTTCCTGCACCAACTCACGAGCCTCTGATCTCGCTGCCGCCGCTCGCGTCTTCCGCGAGGCTGCCAAGGATGGCAAGCCCGCTAAAGTGGACCCTCGCGTCAAGTTCTATATCGCGGCGGCCTCTATTGCGGAGCAGCGTGTTGCCGAGGAGGCGGGTGACTGGCAGGTCCTGCTTGATGCCAATGCTCTCGCGCTGCCAAGTGGCTGCGGGCCATGCATCGGTCTCGGCACTGGTCTCCTCGAGAGTGGTGAAGTTGGCGTTAGTGCAAGCAATAGGAACTTCAAGGGACGACTCGGTCACGTAGCCAGCCAGGCGTACCTCGCCAGTCCCGAAGTCGTGGCCGCCAGTGCCCTTCATGGCAAGATTGCTGGTCCTGGCTGGTATCAGAAGCCTGACGGCGTCGAGAAGGTTATCATTGGTGAGGGAAGCGGCGACTTCCAAGCCGACAAGGCCCGGTCTACTGTGAATGCCTTTGATAAACTCATTGGTGAAATGGATCACCTGATTGCCACCGCCGAGGTTGCTGGTGAGGAGGCGTCCCTCCCCACCGCCACAGCCAAGGATGAGGCCTTGACCGACATCCTCCCTGGCTTCCCCGAGAAGATTGAAGGCGAGATCGTCTTCTGTGATGGTGACAATATCAATACGGATGGAATTTATCCCGGTATGCCAAACCCGTTATGTATCGGATACGAAAAGGGGGGGAATTCATGCTGACTGTCAAACAGGCAAGTACACCTACCAGGACAATGTTCCCAAGGAGACCATGGCCGAGGTGTGCATGGAGAACTACGACAAGGAGTTCCGCACGATCGCCAAGGCCGGCGATATTCTCGTGGCTGGGTTCAACTTCGGCTGCGGCTCGTCACGCGAACAAGCAGCAACGGCCATCCTGGCCAAGCAGATCCCGCTGGTGGTGGCGGGCAGCTTTGGTAACATCTTCAGCCGCAACAGCATCAACAATGCTCTGCTCGGCATCGAGATGAGCCGCCTCGTGCAGCGGCTGCGCGAGGCGTACAAGGACGACCCGGAGAAGCCGCTGACCCGCCGCACAGGGTGGCGGCTGCTGTGGGACGTGCGTCGGTCCAAGGTCGTGGTGACCGAGAAGGACGGAGCTGTCTGGGAGCAGAAGGTTGGTGAGCTGCCGCCGAATGTGCAGGAGATCATTGCGTGCGGTGGTCTCGAGAACTGGATCAGGGCTAAGATCGCGGCGTAAAAAAAAGCAATCGAAGATGTGTTGTTTATAACACTGTATATATGCGTTTCTATGTTTTGGATGTGTCTTTTCTCTGCCTCCAAAAACGATGGAGGTATCCAAGGAAAAGGGGAATAGGAAAAACGGGTTAACAGCTATGTCGTTAGAAGGTACACGATACCAGCAAGATGTTCCAAAGTTACTTAGGCTCTGTACGGTGATCAGGCTTGTAGGTTTATGTTAGTAGAACTGAGCATAGTGTATCGCGATGTACGCAATCAGGGTGCAGGATTAGTAAGCCGTTAAGAGCTAGTGCCATTTCAGACAGTAATGACTGGTCGTTACCCCAAGCTATGGTTTATGTCTAGGTAATGAGCGTGTATATCTATACTGGGTAACCTCATTCCATTCTTATTGGTTTGGTATAATGTTCGCATGAGGTTGTTCAATCCTCGCTACCAAAATAAAGTGGGTCTATTCTGAGCCTGGTGCATCGAACGAATGCTTGCGAAAGGCTGATTGGTCGGTCGGTTGACGATTCTTCTTAGCCCAAGGCTGCAGTCACAACCAAGCGTCCATTTGGCCCACCTGCAGACTTCTTGCTCCGTCTGTTGACTGTTTATTTCTTTTGTTTAGATATTTGTTTCGCCGACGCACAGATACAAAGTCAACAGCCACTGTTCATCCTCCCACCATGGCCCCTGCGCTATGTGTGCTCTGCAAGACGGAGCGTGCGCTCATCAAGCGGCCCAAGAACCACCAGAAGCTGTGCAAGACGTGCTTCATCGCCGTCTTTGAAGACGAGGTCCACCACACGATCACCTCGTCGGGCCTGTTTGTCCCGGGCGAACGCGTTGCGATCGGCGCGTCCGGCGGCAAGGACTCGACCGTGCTGGCTTCGGTCCTCAAGACGCTCAACGAGCGCCACGAGTACGGCCTGGACCTTGTTCTGCTCAGCATCGACGAGGGCATCAAAGGCTACCGCGACGACTCGCTCGAGACGGTCAAGCGCAATGCCGTGCAGTACGACATGCCACTGAAGATTGTGGGCTACGACGAGCTGTACGGTTGGACCATGGACCAGGTCGTCGAGACCATTGGCAAGAAAGGGAACTGCACCTACTGCGGCGTCTTCCGGCGTCAGGCTCTGGACCGCGGCGCCAAGCTGCTTGAGATCAAGCACGTCGTCACGGGACACAACGCGGATGACGTCGCCGAGACGGTGCTGATGAACCTGCTGCGGGGCGACTTGCCGCGTTTGTCGCGAAGCACAAGCATTGTGACCGGCGGCGACCGTGCCGACGTCGATGTGAAGCGCAGCAAGCCGCTCAAGTACGCGTACGAAAAGGAGATTGTGCTCTACGCGCATCACAAGAAGCTGGACTACTTTAGCACCGAGTGCATCTACAGCCCGGAAGCATTCCGCGGCAGCGCGCGCAGCCTCATCAAGAACCTCGAACGCGTGCGTCCGAGCGCCATCCTGGACATTGTGCGTAGTGGCGAGGACATGGCCCGGCTGGTGCCCGGCGCTGCACCCATTGCATCCTCCTGTTCCTGCTCCGGGTCCGCAGGCAAGGCTGGAAAGTCGACAGCAACAGCAAGCAAGGCCGCGGCAGGCGCACCACCATTGCCAGTCGACGACGGCACCGATGGCGGGGGTGGAGCAGGCGGGTGTGGCTCACAGGGCGGCCGCTCGTCAGGCAACGAGCTGGCGGCGATGGAGGCACAACTCAAAAGCAACGAGGCCGCCGAGCCACTTGAGACCGACATGGCCTCTCTGTTCCTAGCCAGGAAACAGCAGCAGCTGGACGAGGGACACGTGCCAGAAAATAAAACGAAGGCTGCTCCACTGCCGGCACCGACATCACCAGCAGCAACGTCAACGCCCAGCCAGCCACAAGGCAGAAACGCAGTCGCCAAGCAAGTTCTCGGAACGTGCGTAAAGTGCGGCTACATGTCCAGCCAGGCCATGTGCCAGGCGTGCACATTGCTGGAAGGCCTGAACAAGAACCGGCCACAGATCCAGATATAGGTCCTGCATCGTCGGCGCTTTCTCGTTCCTGGTGGTCCCATCCCACTTCACAGCACATAGACTCCATAGACTTTACGACGCAATGACACTTTTTGAGATATCCTGTAAAAATTAGAAAAAGTTTGTTGTTTTATGTACTGGTGGTGCAATCCAATTCGATTGCCAAACTGTGGGTGTACGTGCGTCCGTCATGACAAGGTGTTTTGCCGATTCACGACACAGAGCGGGCAGCACTTCCTTCCGGCACGGCGACAACGGCCATACATTCAAAGTATCCTCCATCCCGTCACATCGTCGCTGTTTGCCGCTTATGAGAAGCGCTTCTCCAACTGCAGACACATTGGTTAGCTCCCAGCAAACAGATCTTGAAACAATAGTCGGGCAGCATCTGGCAGCATCTGGCAACATCCGGCAGCATCAGTTGACGTACTCTCCACGGGTTGTTCACTTCGAAGCCTGGCGGCGCCGATGGGTTGTCTGTCTGTCCTCGTAATAGGCCTGTGAGTCTCCGGTCGCGGTCCATCACTACGAAATCGATGCTGTTAGTCCACGAGCGATTCGAGATGCATTTCGAGCTGCGTTTGTCGTCGTTCGGGTCCTTTGCAGATACGCACTTTGCTGTAACGGTAGTTAGCATCCTGAGCCCAGCATCATGTAATCTCGTATCCGAATTCGGCGCAAACTCACTCTGTCCCACTGGTCAGTCGACCGCCGCGCCCGCTTGCCACCGTTCTGCATGTGCCGGATCTTGGACAGACCGGCGCCTGAAATACCAAACATCTAGAATTGAGCAAACGTATTGTTCTTAGCAACCTGTCCTAGACTGGTACCCTAATAGTCCCCCGTATCGCCGTCATGCCATCTTCGTCTGCTGATCGGGTCGGCTGCTTACGGCAATCATGATCCCGTACGGGATAAGAGTCTCGAAGGGAACAGGCATTGTGGGTGGTGGTGATGCGATGAAGCTCGCAGCTGCTTTCGATTGGGTAGGTGGGTTCGCAGTCTGAGATTTTGGCCGTCGAATCCGAAGCCTGGGATCGTGGTCGTTCGCTTGGTCGTGAGGTTCGGCTAAGATCTCGAATTGAGGGAATGTTCAATTGTCTGCCTCTAACTGGCGCAGCAAAAAACTTGCGGCCTGAGGCCACAAGCTACGCGGGCATTCTCAAATACAGCAGGTGCGGAATGACCACAATAAAAGTGGGGCTTCTTTCTCAGCACTGTGGAATTTGGAGCCAGGTCGCGTTAGGTTACATAATGTGACTAACGAACAAGGTGGGTGGACGCGGAGAAGGGGAGGAGCTGTTCGCCAAAGGGGCAGGAGCGGAGGAACACACACAAACCGGCGATCGTGCAAGCCAAAACAACCTCCTTGCGGCCACTGAACAACCCCGTTTCGACGCGTCCTTTATCACCAACGCCGCGCCTTTCGCTGTACCAGAACCTCTATCGCGACCAGCAGCCTTAACAGAGCGCGTTCGGCACCTTTTCGGCCGACAATCAGTGCCGGCGCAACCTGCAACGCGGGTCTCCATCCCGGCACCGAAAAAGTATTGCCACCTCCACTTCTCCTTCACCTCACTACGATTTTGTTGCCGACGACAGCATCCTTTTGCACCTCTGTTGCTATCGGCATTGCGTACCCAGAAACACCACATTTGGAGGCCACGTCCTGTTTGCTGTGGCTCGCCTCCCTGCAATGCCCACGCTGGCGCCTGCTCGACCAGCGAACTTGACGGCAATCTGGAGACAGTAACGCGCTTTATTCCCGCCTTTGCACCTCGTCTCTCCCATCTCGATACTCTACTCCGTACGCCATACCCTTTTTTGCGCCTTGCGCACACTTACGGACCGCGCCGGGGCGGTGGATGACCCGCCGAGAAGGGGGACATTTGCAGCCATGGCGAGCGAGCAACTTATCCAGGAGGAGCTTCAAAGCAGCGCGGCTGTCTCGGAGCCAAGTGGATCGTCGCACATGGACGATGACGAGAGCACCGGAACGCTCGACCGGGCCGCTCAGCTTGGCATGACAAACGGCATGAAGAGCGACGCCTCGGCTGGTGACGGCGAACGTTACACAGGAGAGGAAAGCGAGGAGCTGGAGGAGGAGGAGGATGCCGAAGGGGAAGAAGACGATGAATTCCACGACGACGCAGACGATTACGAGTCCGACGGCGCCGGCGAGGACGTCGAGGACGAGCTGGACGAGGACGACACAATACTGCCGACAGCAGCAGGACGACGGCGCCTGCGTGTCAAAGACGATGATGGCGAAGACGACGAAGAGGAGGGCGATGAAGACGATGCCGAAGGGGAAGACGACAGCGAAGGAGGCCGCGACGAGGAAGAGGCGTCGGACGACGACGCCGTTGGCGACGCCGAGGGCGTAGGTGCGGTTAAGATTCGGCCTGGTGAAACAGAGGACGACGAAGACGAAAGCGAAGCCAGCGCCGCTTCCGAGGAGTCCAGTGACGAAGAGTGGGAGGAGCAGGCACAGAACGCCGATGACGACGACGATGAGGACGAAGACGTGGAGGAGGAGGAAGAGGAAGAAGAGGTTGGAGACGAGGACGAAGGCGCAAGCCAAGTCGGTGCCGCCGCAGAACATGTCTATGACGACGATGAAGAAGATGAGGACGGGGCGGCGTTCAACTATCACTTGGACTGCCTGTACTGCAGGCGAGGCTATGGCAAACCCAGAAAGAGCGACCCGAATCTCTGGACATGTCCAACGTGTACAAACAGGGGTAAGTCTCTAGCAAGAGACACATGCAAAGAATGGGAAAATGGACATGGTGCTAACTCGCAACCCCAGCGCATGTGGAGTGCTCCTACCAACATCAGGCACCCGACGGGTTTACTGCAGAGGGTACGTATTCCCCAGCGAATTTGTGTTTGCTGCAGAGTGATAACCATGCTCTTTTCGTTTCTGTTTGCTAACACGCACAATTAGAGCCATGGCAATGCCCGGATTGTGTTGCGAAAAACCGCACAGAAGCAGGAGATGCTGCTGTCGAGACGATGGACGTTGATGGAAACGGAACCCTCCAAACGACAAACGGAGCCGACGTCGTAAATGGGACACCTCCAAAGACAGCAATACATGCGACACGCAAAGCCAACACGCCCAGGTCGTCGCCAGCATTGCGTGGTTTAGGCGCAAATACAGGCTCTGTCTCAGAGGACCAGACAGACGGTGCACCGCGGTCGTTGCGGAAACGGCGAACATCGCCGGTCGAGAGTGTCGGCAGCGGCATGTCCCTGCGCAAGCGCCGGAAGAATGTGACGGCAGATTTGAGCATTGACGGATTTACCGATATCCACAATTCGACAGTGCCGAACTCGGCCCGCTCCCTGCGGATAAAGCCGCCTGCCGCGTCGCAAGTTTCAGTTGTGAAAAAGACACGAGGCAGTCTCATTCTCAAGATCAAAGTGGCACCTGCCGACCTGCGCAGGATCACAGTGAAGAAGCGCAAATACACAAAGCGCGGCACAGCGCCACCAAGGATCAGCAAAAAAGAAAAGAAACGACTCGAACAGTTGGCCGCGGAAAACGGACTGTCGGTCGGCAGCGATGCTCTTCCTGTGATGCCGTCCACCACCGCATACACGCAGCCGTTCTACTCCTTCTTTGACAAGGACACAGACGAACAAAAGGGCAAGCCGTACGGTGGCATTCTCACCGAGGCCGAGGCGGACACGTCCAAAACATTCCCCACGCCGGACGACCGGCGGCGGTTTGACGATGCGAAGCAAAAGGCCGAGGAGGAGTGGCGGGCGCGGCTGCTTGTCATGCAGGCCGAGGCCGAGGCTACCCAGCCACCCAAGAAAAAGAAGGCCGCAGGCCCTGCCAGCCAAATTGAGTGCATCGAGTTTGGCGGGTGGGAAATCGACACGTGGTATGCGGCACCGTATCCCGAAGAGTACAGCCGCAACCGTGTACTCTACATTTGCGAGTTCTGTCTCAAGTACATGAACTCGGACTACGTGGCGTGGCGGCATAAGCTCAAGTGCCCGGCCAAGCACCCCCCAGGCGACGAGATCTACCGGCACGAGTCCATCTCGTTCTTTGAGGTGGACGGGCGGAAGAACCCGGTGTACTGCCAGAACCTGTGTTTGCTGGCCAAGTTGTTCCTTGGGTCCAAGACTCTCTATTACGATGTGGAGCCGTTTTTGTTCTACGTGCTCTGCGAGTACGACGAGTTTGGGTACCACTTTGTGGGGTACTTTTCCAAAGAGAAGCGCGCCAGCAGCCAAAACAATGTCAGCTGTATCCTGACGCTGCCCATTCACCAGCGCAAGGGCTACGGCAACCTGCTCATTGACTTTTCGTACCTGCTCACGCGGGTGGAGGAGAAGACGGGCTCGCCCGAGAAGCCGCTGTCCGACATGGGCCTGGTCTCGTACCGGAACTACTGGCGCCTTGTCATGTGCCGCTACTTGTTGGACGCGATGACGGCCAGCAGGGGCGCCAAGCTCGGTCTGTCGATCAAGCAGATCTCGAACGACACAGGCATGACGGCCGACGACGTGATCTCGGCCCTCGAGGGCCTGCGGTGTCTCGTGCGCGACCCACAGACGGGTCTCTACGCGTTCCGGGTGGACGTGACCTACTGCCGCGAGTACGTGGCCAAATGGGAGTCCAAAAAGTACGTGACGCTCAACCCGGCCGCTCTGACGTGGACGCCCTACGTAATGGGTCGTGGTAATGCCACAAACTTTGAGCTGGGGCCGGCGCTCACGGCCATTGCACCGCGCGAAGAGGACGAAGAACCAAAATCGGGCGAGCGGTTTGTGGCTTGCCTCGCCAACAGCGACAGCATCTCGACACAAGGCGGCCTCACAAATGGCGTTGCCGCGGACGCTGCGGCGACGACCGCAACTACAGAAGACAGCAAGGCGCTGGCCTCGTCCGCCACGGTCCTTGAGTCCACGGAGCCCAACGACAAGGACGGCATTGTCCCCGAGACGAAAGACGAGGCGGATACAAAGACAAACGGCGACCACAGCGCGGCATCGGCAGCCACTTCAAGCAAAACCCTCGGAGCCGATGGCGATGCCGATGCCGACGCGGATGCCGATATTGAACCCCCAGTCGCCAACATTATGAGCGACATCAAGTCCGAAGACAAGGACGATGACGACAGTGAGGGCGACGACGTTGTCGGCAGTAAGAGCCGTGCCACGACGGCGCTCAACGGCATGGCGACGCACGCGGCCCACGAACACCACGGTGCGGCGCCCGCGCCGTCCGTGGCGGGCACAGCCAATGGCTCACAAAAGCAGGACGACAGCGGCAACGGCGGCGACTGGGCGGCAGCCTACAGCTCGGTCCCGACAACGCGGTTTGTCGTGTTCCCGCCGGTATCGGCGCGCCGTTTGAGCAGTTATCCACGGGCACCGATCGGTCGGCCACCTGGCGCCCGCACAGGCAGCGGCAACCGCGCACGGAGTCGCCACAGCACCACGGGCCACGTCCGGCGGGCCGTGGTCAGCACGTCGCGGCCCAAGGCACCGAGCTCGTCCAAGAAAAAGACGGGCGGCACAGGCCGCGGACCTGGCCGGTGGCCCAAGGGCACCAAAAAGAGCGACTACGGGAATGCCGACAGTGGGCCGGGCCTGCCGCCGGCCTGGCTTGCGCGCAAGATTGCGGCAGCAGAGTCGCATAAGGCAGGCTCGGGCTCGGGCTCGGGCTCGAGCTCAGGCGATGCAGTCAATGGCGGCCCCAAACACGAGGGTGAGGCGCACGATGCCACGGCCTCTGCAGCCGCCGACGATGCACATCCGGCGCCACCCATCACGCCGAGCCGCCAATCCGCTGCCAGTAGCGACCATGACGACGACGACGACGACGAGGCCGATGCCGAAGGCGAAGACGACGACGAGCACACCGTGGCGGACACCGTGCAGGTGCACACGCCGACGCTGCCGACGCGGCTGGCGGACAAACGCGGCGGCGTGAACGGCGCCGTGCTGGCATCCGGGACTCGGGGCCGGTCGTCACCGCGGCTGGGTAAGATCAAGGCTGCGGCGTTGCACGACGGCGGTGAAGCTGATACAGTGATGGTGGATGTGGGAGAGACATAAATGGCGGTCAGACTTGGTGTACTGATGCTTCATTTTTTTAACCAAAAAACCTTTTCAGGAAGATGTACATTTTAATTCCAGTTGGGCAGCATGGCGTTCAGACGTTTTGCATTTCTTGTGTGTCGATTATTTCTATGTATTGGAGTCCTGTTTTTTGTTTCGATTATTTTCTTCCCTGTTATCCCATTGTTTCTTGGCTCGCCCTATCGGCTTGACCTTTGTTTCATTATGTTGTTTTGAACTGTCAATACCCTCTATTTTAATGGCAACGCATGCAGGATGACTTTCGTAGACATACGCCTTGACGAGCGCGTCATAGCGTAGATTCGGGCAACTGTTGACTTTTGTTATTCTCCGGCCCTTTAAGATTTCTATCGCCTTTTTTTTTTTTTACTTCGACAAAACAAATATGAAATAGCCCAAGCCGAGGCAAGTGCCTTCCCCACTGCCGTCGGTACATCCCACCTCCCACCTTCCCCCATAAGCCACTACGACGCAGTAGTTGCACCGACAGCACGGTACGCTATGTTTCACCGACCCGGGCCAATTCCGTGCTCCATTCGCCGTGTCGCCCTCCCCATCGCACCTGCCACAGACGGAGCCCGGGCGTGTCAGGGACGCCAGCCAAAATGCACCGCCTCAATGGACCCTAATTCTCACTCTGCATCGCGCCCTCGGCTTTGTATCATCTTGTCTCGCGTTGCGCATGTGCCGTGCTCCCGTTCAGCTGCAAGAGACCGTCGATTCTCCAAAGCAGTCTAGATGCATCCCTGCCCCAGCACAAGCGTCAACGGCGCACCTTGACATGACCCTCTGCGCAGCGCTGCCGTAGGGCCACGTCGTCGGCTGCATCCCCCGCCCCATCGTTCGCACGTCATTACGCATGTCTTGCATTCTGGATTATGTGTTGTTTTGTGCTTTTGCCTCCCAAATCCGCCCGCTGGCCTTGAGATCCCTGCGAACAAATGTCGTCCCCAGGCTCCGCCTCACAATCCTTCAAAACAGGGCAAACCACCAGGGAAGCGAGTCGATGTAAAATGGATAAACCGGATACCGACCCAACGCACAATGGTAAAATACAACCCGCCGAGTCTGGTGCGAATTCTCGAGGCTCTTGGCTTGTGGTGCTGCTACTGGAGAAAGTACAAAACGACAGGGAGATCACACGCTTGTTTCAGCACATGCAGTTCGAAACAGACCATCCACAGACCTCTGTTGTATTCAGCTTTGCCATCTTTATCAAGCCGCCTTATCTGTTCTCTCCTTTTCTCCTCAACGTCGTAGTTCTCTTCACTTTTGATCTGGTTTTGATCTAGTTCTGATTTACGTTGTATATTCTGTCTATTGTCTATCAAGTTTCTCTTCTTCACCCGCTCCCTTGCCCGTCTATCTTCTGCATCCTCTCTTTGCATCGGCAATCCTGGAAACAACACCACAGCCGGTTCCCTGTCTCAAATCAACATCCAAAGGTTGGCATTCGGATCTCGGGTCACCTCCGCATTCAGGCACCTTTCGATACCCGGGACAGCTCCAGTTCCCACCTCGCAGCTACCAACCGGCACTTTCGTTCTGCGCCGCATTGTACCTTTTGCGTACCGCTCTTCCCTCTTCCACGATCCTCCTGTATGTTCCCATAGGACTTTTCGTATTCTCCACAGCCGCCTTCTCTCGCACCATTCCCAGTTGTCGAGCTCTTTACTCTGGCTTGTTTCTTGGCGGCAGCTGTCCACCGGTTTCCAGCTTCTTTCTCGCTCCCTCGGCATTGTTTTGTCCTCCGTTCACCCGTTGACGAGTCTGCATGGCTCCTGTTTCCTGTTTCTTCGAGAGGCTGACTTTCAAAAGCAGATTCACACACTCCGCCCGCTCCTGCCTCTCCCGGCTTGTAGTCAACAACCAGGTAAGAACTCTTGCCTATTGCGTCAAATTCTAGATCCTGCGTGCCCCTCAATTCAGAAGGCGCGGTTCTGCAGCGTTCCTCGAACCTGCCCTTGCCTTCTTCGTCTTGCCTATTGACTGCCATTGGCCAATTGATGTGGATCGTTACTTCTTCTGTCGTCCCCTCGCTCCTTCCCGTTCTCCCTGTTGCCCTATCTGCGCACCGGTCCTGCACAAGTTTGCAGCTCGATTGGTCTGGTTGTTCCTTCCCATGCAATCGTCTGTCGTCACATCGTCTTGCCGTTTACGGCGAGTCGCAGGCCTCATTTCTCAACACTTTGATCTCAACATATCTTTTCTCCAACTCTTTTTCCAGCCCTCATTTTGTACTCCTGACTTAAGTCTGACCTCTTTCACTCCCTCACCCCCACCATTTAACATCACTCTCCGCACCATCAACGATCGGCAACAGACTCGCGTGCTCACATAAAACTAACGTTTGTTGACGTGGGCTTTCAAACTAGGATCGCCAATCCCCCAACTTACGTCACCGTACTTTACCACACTTAAACACGCCAGCACCTGGCAGCCACCAGAGACTCACAGCCGTCTCCGAACAGACTCCCAGCCGTCACAATGGCCGCTCCAAACACTTTCAAGAGCAACCTGGGTCTCTCCATTATCGGAGTCGGCCGCCAATACCCGCCATACTCCCTCAAGCCCGACTCTCTCAACACATTGAGCAAACGATTCTACCCAGAATCACCAGCGTAAGTGCATCCTGTCGTACGCGTCCTTGTCGCTCACCCTACAACTCATCTAACTGCTGTTCGTCTGCAGGATGACCAAGGTGCTGGGCATCAACCAGCTCACTGGTATTGAGGCGCGCTCGTCCATTGGCACACCGGACCACCCCCTCGTCAACCAGGAAAAAGCACCCACCATCAAGCAGCTCAGCGACATCTTCTTCCAGGAAGGCGTCCCCCTCGCCGTCCAAGCCGCGCAAAAGGCCATTGCGGAGGCCCGCATCGACCTCTCGCAAATCACCCACGTCGTCGCCAACACCTGCACCAACAGCGCCAACCCGGGCTTCGACCACTTTGTCGTCAAGGGTCTCGGCATCAAGCAGCAGGTCGAAAAGGTCTTGCTGCACGGTATCGGCTGCAGTGGCGGCCTCGCCGGCCTGCGCACGGCCGCCAACCTTGCTCTGGGACACACCATGCAGGGCAAGCCCGCCCGCATCCTAGTCGTCACCCTCGAACTCAGCACGATGATGGTCCGCAGCGAGCTCGACAGCATCCACGAGCTGCAGGAGACCCGCATCGGCGTTGCCCTCTTCTCGGACTGCGGCAGCGCCGTCGTTCTGAGTAACGGCATCGGCGAGTCTGCCGAGCCCATCTACGAGCTGCTGGGCTGGGACCACCGCATGATCCCCGACACCGAGGAAGACCTAGGATTCGACGTCGACCCTGTGGGCTGGAAGGTCGTGCTGTCGCCCCGCGTGCCCAAGCTGGCCGCCGAGGTGCTCCAGCCCACGTTCCGCGACCTTGTCGCCTCCGTACCCGATCTGCCCCCCACCTACCAGGCCGCTGCCGACTTTGACTGGGCCATGCACCCCGGCGGCTCCACCATCTTGTCCGGTGCCGAGCGCGCCATGGGCATCTCGCCGGAGCACATGCGTGCCAGCTACGACACCTACATCAACCACGGCAACTCCAGCTCCGCCACCATCTTCAGCGTGCTCGACCGCCTGCGCGAAAAGGACATGGACGCCTGGGCCCCTGGCGGCAAGGGCCCCAAAGAGTACATTATCGGCTGTGCCTTTGGGCCGGGCATCGCTGTTGAGTCGTGCATCCTCAAGCGCAACATGCGCGTCACCGGCATCGACACGCCGCCCGAGACCGAGAGCGAGGCCAGCCGTAGCGAGGCAGGCGATGCCGGCGAGGAGAAGACGACCGCATCATCGACACAAGCAGGACCGCAGACCATCACCTCGCAGGTCAACAACCTGGAGCTGGGCTCGAACTAATTAGAACTGGACATTTCTGGAGTTACTGCAAGCGATTTGTAAAGTGACGCAATGGGATGGGCGGATGTATCTTAATACCTGCGGATTTTTGTGTTTTTTTTTTTTTCTTTTTCTTTTTCACTGTTCATGGTAAATGTATACTGCTATTGTTGACTTTCGTCCATCACCAACAATGATTTATCGTTTGCTGCCTCGTTTTATGTTCACTTGCGATACGGAACCCAGCAATCTGTGCATGGGAAAGGAGTATTCTATATACATCAGGGCGTTTTTTTAAGTCATGTGCAGATTGCTCGGCATCTAGTGTTCGAGACTGTTAGAAAAACAGCTGTTACTGAGGGCAGTACAATAGCAGCCTCTACAATGTTTGTGAATAAGTCACCTCCATATCACCAGAGAAATGCAAACAATTTCAAAATGCTATTTTGACTACTGCTGCAAGTGGTATCATTTATAAACAATCAAGCGCTGCCCTCTATCCAAACAAGAAGCTTCAAAAACCAAAACCAAAACTCAATAAGCAAGCTTCCGTCTACCGCCAACTAACCCGAGTTCTCATCACTTCAAGGCGCCTTTCTGTCCCCCAGCCCAGCGAGCATCCCATCGGAAATAAAAGAGACTATGGATGCCCCGCCGTCATATATTGTCATTTCATTTTCGGATTTATATCACTTGGCCCCTCCCTTGTTTACTGCGACGTCGCCTTGGTCTCCGTGACGGTGCCACCGTCCTCGACGTGCTCCAGAGAATCCGCCTTGCTCACACCGAGCTGGGAAGTGTCCCAGCCGTTGGCCTCCAGGTAGCGGCGGAAGCGCGCGTCCTCGTACTGGATTGTGTCCTGGCCGACGTTGGGCAGCAGGAAGAAGGCCAAGAGCGCCGACAGAACCGACAAGCTGGAGCTGACATAGAAGGGGTACTGTGCCGTGGCGTTGGCGTCGTCGCCACCGGCGGCCTCAATGTAGGGGTAGACGTAAGTGCCAACAAAGGCGCCGATCTTGCCAACGGCGGCGGCAATGCCGTAGTACTGGCCGCGCACACCGGTCGCGCAGGTCTTCGCAGCCAAAAGACCAATGTTGTCGCCGGGGCCGAACTCGCCGAGCGACAGGAAAATGCCGTAGACGGTGGCGAACGCCCCGACCATGTGCGGCTGGGAGAGGTTGGCATAGTCGCCGGCCATGATGAAACCGACAATGGCCTGCAGCAGCACACCCGTGATCAGGCACCAGCGGGGGCCGAGCCAGTCGCTGGCCTTGGCGCCGAGGAGCGAGCCGGGCATGTAGAACAGGTTGATGACGACGTTCCAGCCGAAGATGGTGGTCAGGGGCGAGTCGGAGGGGAATATGTTGGCCAGGATGGTGGACGAGTAAATGCCAAAGGCGTAGGTCAGGAAGTCGTAAATGAACCAGATCAGGCTAACAACGATCAGGCGGGGGCCGTAGAACTTGAGAACCAGCCAGTACGGGGTGCGGGCGCCCTTCATAGAGTTGCGGTTGAACTCCTCGTTCTCCTTGACAAAAAGACGGAGGACGAAAAGGACGAGGGGAAAGACGGCGCCGATGCCGAGCGACACGCGCCATTGGGTGCTGAGGTGTTCATTATGGCAGGCGGCCGCCACGACGTCTGTATAAAGGCTGGTGTTAGCTCGGAGGGGATTCCCAACCGGAAGAGCCGTAAAAATGGCCCGAAAAAAAGGATAAATAAAAGAGGACAAGGAGCACACGTACAAGGAACAAAGGCACCAATAACGAAGCCAAAGTCAATAATGGAGTTGGTGAACCTATTCTGTTAGTTTGGGTAGAAATAAAGAGAGAGTGTGTGTGGAAACCCGAGAGCGAAAGAGGTATAGAAAAAGACGGCGACCTTCGCGGCACACGAACTCACAGGATGAAGATAAAGTGGCGCCAGCCCTTGCGGACCTCGCCCGTCGACTCGGCACAGCCCACAGAGCCCGCAGGATACTCGCCGCCAATGCCGATACCGACGAAGAAACGCCACGCAGCCAGGATGTTGAACATGCCAATGGTGTCACCATGGTAGTAAGAGCCGGCGGCCAGAGCCGTGAAGACGAAGAGGATGACGGTAGACACAAGCAGCGAGTTGGTACGCGACCAGCGGTCGGCGAGGAAACCAAAGAACAGCTGGCCGACGACGGTGCCAGCAAAGACGATGGCACTGACAACGCTCTTGGACCGGGACTTGGACCAGGTGTCGCCGTACTGGAGGGCCAGGATGGTGGAGACGGAGCCAATGACCTGCAAAAGTTAGCACACAAGCGCACTTCGGCCCAATCTTTCGCAATCTACGCGGGTGTGCAGCTCACGTTGTTGATGTAGCCGTCCGAGAAGAGACCGGCACCGCAGGCGACGACGGGCAGCGTAATCAGAGGCTGCTTCTGGTCGATGGGCGGCAGGTTGTTCTCGGCGTTGACTTCTTCGACGACGGTCTCGGCCTGCTCCTGCTCGTGCTGCCGACCGGCAACCGTGAGGCGGTTGAGGAACGACATGGTGGGCGGGGGACGGTGGGTAAAAATGGAAACCGAGGCGGTCGACGGTGATGTGTAGAAAGACTAAGAGACAGAGAGAGAAAAACAGAAGAAGAACAAAAAGTCTGCGTTGGGCCGGCAGGTGTCGAGAAAGTTGAGCTTTCTACTCCCTTCTTTCTTCTTACGGACGAGAGATAAGGAAAGAAGGAAACCGACAACAGAACACAAATCAGGGAAAGAGCGAGAGAAAAGAGGTGAGGGTGCTAGGTACGGAAGGAAGGAGGGGGGCGGGTATGAGCTTATGAGGACTTTGACTCTGAATACAAAACGATCGGCCTTGTGGGAGGGCCGTTTGGTACTTTGCAATAAAAAAAAAGAGGACAATACTCGGTTACATTCACGAGGTCGCCACAGGGCGCATTTGTTTATGGGGATCTAAGCTGGGGTTGGGGCGCAAATGGGGAGGCGGCCGTGGTTGGACGGGACTAAGACAGAGTGGACAGACAGGACCCCAAAGGATTTGATACGACATATTTGGGACGGTACAGAGACAGAGAGGTACTTCTCGTTTTGATATTTTTCTGTTTTAGTTGTTTTCCTCTTCGGGCTGCCGATCCTTTCTCACGGGGGCAAATACTGGGTCGTCCGTGGGTTGGCGGTGGGACCGGACGCGTGATCGTGCTCATGTGGGTGATATTGCCGTTCTGCTCGATTCTGGGAATAAGAAAATCGCTGGGCGATACGAAGGACTTGCGTGTACGGAGTAAGGCGCCGTCATGGCTTGGTGTGTTGGAGGATATGTGTCAAGAGTCAACTAGCCGTAGACTTCATTACACACGCAGTTTGTATGCCGTCTGTTGGAGGGTACAGACGTGGCCGCACCTTCCATTCCCATTTCTCGGGATCGAGGTGTTCTTTCCCGTGCAACCAGGGTGACAAGAACGGCCGGCCACTCGACAGTTCCATTCTCTTCCAGTAATGGTTGACCGACTCCGTCCTCTTCTACGAAGCCGATAGCCTTCTTGTTTGGCCCAATGTTTGTCTGTTGACAAAAAATTCGTATCAGATCGTCACATTCGACTTCATCCTGTCTTTGCCCGTACCTCCTAGCGACGCGAAACGACTGGTTGCGACTCTAAGATATTAGACCGACGTAAATTCCAAAAATGCCCCGCTTTTTTTTGTTCGCACGGCTGCCATCGCGCCTTCCTCTTTTTTCAAGGTGCGCCGGTCTCATTTAGCAGCCTGGTTCTACTTTCAAGCTTGGCGTTTCTGTGTATGTAATTCGTACTCTGTACTTTTTTCGAGGCGCCTTGCTCCTCTCAAGTACGGAAAATACCGCGCCATCCTTTCCAATTCTTTGGTCGTCTGCATCTACGCTTTTTTGTATCTCCCCTTCGTTTCTCTTTTACATTTTGCATTCGTCTTTTTTATTTATACTGTGTTTTCAAGCTCTGACGTCAATGGCGTTCGGCTTGGCAAGTAGCACGCTTTAGGTCCCGTTACAGAGCCCCCTGCCGCGGCCTAGGCGCACACACCAGAAGCAAAACGATCAAAAGAACAGTAAATCGGCTTTTCTTGACTTGCTAGCAGTGGCAGAGGCGCTGGAACCAGTCCTCATTGGGTTGCCGCTTTCCGAATCTCAAGCCTTACCGCCCAGAGACTAGCACGCGCTCTTCGTTCGCACTTGCCTGTTTTTGATTAAACCATGACTTCCCTTTGCTCCTTCCACAAATTTTGCCCTGTATGTCGTACTTTCCCCCTGGCTCTTTCTTCGTCTGCCGTCTCCGTTTCTTGCACCTCGTAGCCTTCTTACCGGGGCTCTTACCACTTTCGTGCCCCTCACAGGTCGTACTTACTTGGAATGCGGCTTGAAGACAGCGGAGGCCTTTCAAATTGTATCTTGTAGCACCTTGCTGGGGAACGGACGCCCATCGCGCTCGCTCCTGCCCAAAATAACAAAACACTGTCTAGAAAAGTAAACATCCTTCTGCTGTTTTCTTGCCCTTGGAGCTTTCGTACTCCCCTTACCCACCGACCTGCGCTCTTTTCCAAACGCCCTTACAACGGCAACTCAACATCTCGACGTTGCATGGCGAACCCACTTCGGCGACGCCGACTACCCCCCTCATCAAGAACACGACCTACTCTAAAACAACGGTTTGGAAGGCCGCTAGAGGCTGGCCTCTTTCTAGACGTTCAGGCCGTGCTTGGGTGCTGGGCCTGACAATTGAACTGGCGCCCGCTGAGCGACAAAACAACAATTCGACAACAGCATGAAGACGAACAACACTTGGCCTGGCCTCCCTGGCCAAGCCAAAGATTTGCTTGGCGAGCTTGGTTCCTTGACTGCGACTGAAGGCTTTTCTGTTGCCTCTTCATTGTTCTTTTTTTCTCGGTCGTTCTTTACGGCTCCCTTCATACTTTTCTTCTCATTGGTAATTACTCCCTCCAACGCCTCTGGACTGGGCCGTTCAAGGTTTTCTTTTTCTACGTCGTATTTGGACGTTACCGTTCGTTTGCAGCGACGACACCTCCCTAGCCACTTGCCTAGCCTGTTAAAGTCCCCGATACACAAGGAAGTTTCGTTTATGCAGCCTCCTCTACGACATACAATACCACCTTGTCCGCAGCCTTTTTTGACCAACAAGGCAGGCATGGTCCAAGCTCCCCGGGATGTTCTCGGCCCGGAAACGAAACGAAGGGTCAGCATGGTAACTCGAGCAGCTCGGTCTTGGCCGTGTGAATCTCATTTGGCTCACCGAGTGTAACATCTCGACATTGCGGCGGTTAAACGGCCTCGTGCTTCTCGACAGGGTGTTGATAGAGGTTGATCAGGGCTTGTGAAAAAAGAAACGGTTAACCCATGCCGAGAAGGGTATTGTCCACTTGTCGAGACTTTGTTTGGACATCCTGGAAGGGCTGATCCGTCGATGCAATACTAGTCTGGACGTACGTACTATGGAGGGCACGTGCGAGCCAGCCTCGACAACTACAGGTCCTCCTTCAACCGAACCATGAAGATCCTTTGGAATCCTCTAATTCTGACATGACTGGACGTAACGACAAACTAATAACTTTGCTATACAAGCTCAGTAACCGCATGCATCATCGCACGCCATCACTATCGACGCAAAAAATATTGCACAGGCCACAAAAATGAGTGTAGACCGTCCTCACATGACCCGATATGCAATATTGCCGCGTCAAGCTTCTCAGTCGTTTCCAAGCTCAGTCTGAAATGAGAAGACCACAATCTGGTACCTGTCCGACAGTCCTATTACCACATGTTTTCAGTAGTACGACGCACTGGCAAAGTTCGCCCCTTCCGCTCGATGGCGCCGGTACTTGATCTAGGAGGATCAGATAACAAGTAGCAAAACGGCGAAGTATGTTCCGGAATCACCCAAGAGCCCATCCCTCCAACGGGCGCAGGACGTTCGTTCCCAGCGAAAAGGCAGCCAATCGTGGCCGCTCACTGATCAACGTGGTCCAGTCGCCTCACCATGGGGACGTGCTCCTAGCTGCTGCTCAGTCGATCCACCACCACACCATAAAATAAAACCCACACACCACAGGAGTGCAAGGGGTCGTCAACGGGTATGCCGCCGTGCATGAGAAGGGCGCCAAAAAGTCAAGACAAGCTTTTTTTTATGATTTTATTTTGCTACCAAAAAAATAAAACAAATATCGGGGTGGGAACCATCGGACGTATCGTCACCAGCGGTACGAGGATCGTATGTCGTCTGGGTGCCTTTGACCATCGCATGGCGTGGCTATGTGCGAGCCGTTGTGGTTGTAGTTGTGGTTTGCCTTGTTTGTCGCTCTTTCGGTCGGGTCCATCTGATGTACGGCATACAACGTATTCCATGGCTTTCTCCACGTCGTCCATCAATGTCGTCGGAGGTAGTCTACTCTGAAGATATTCGAGAAATTTTCTCGGTCACCTTTTGACGTTTAAACCTCCAGACTAGGCCCACGTGCATAATTGAACATGGTCGACTCCGAGAAGAAAAGATCTGCGCCTTCACTGTCAAAGTTCCACAACAGAGACACTGCAACCCTACTCAGTCAGGAGAGTAGCGATACATGGATCAAGCACGTTTCCTGTTCTTGGCGTTGCGAGGAGACAGGTGTACCTGGCACATGTCCATGCCGTGGTGCAGTCAAAGGATCTGTAAGCTGATGCATCCTGTCAACAGGTTCGGTTCCATTTTAAACTGACAAAAAAAAGTCTATTCCTGCCAGCCAAGCAGCACTTGGTCATGACTGGTCATTTCCAACATCTATGGCACGACGCGAAGAGGTCTCCCCGACCGTCGCAGCTGAAGCCGGGCCTGCGGTACATCCTTTGCAGCAGGCTCCAAGATATGAATGGGCAGCACCCGGTCGTTTCGCGGCGGAACTTTGGGTGGCACCCCGTGCTGGCCCATGGCAGCTGCGGCCGCGTCCTCGGCGTCAAACATCAGCACCACTGCGGCGGCAAACGACAGAATCTCGGCTGTCGCAAAGTGTCGTCCGGGGCATAACGTTTTACCGCCACCAAAAGCGCGGAACGCGGCAGGGTGCCGTTTGGGAACTGCCGGCGAGGCCTTGTCCGTTTTGTCCGGTTTTGCTGCCGCCTTGGGAAGAAATCTTGCCGGGTCAAACGTGTCGACATCAGCACCCCAGAGCGTTGGGTCCGCGTGGATGACACCAGCAGCAATCTGCACAACCGAACCGGCGCGCAAGAAGTACCGATCGGCCAGCAGAGTGTCGGACAGCACGAGGCGGGTCGACATGTTGTTGGAGCCCAGCCGGAGGCACTCCTGGTAAACAGTCAGCAGGGTCGGGCAGTTTGTGCGAATGTGGTCGATGCTCAGCGTGTCGCCATCGTCGTAGTTGTCGTCGCTGCTGCCATTGCTTCGTGTCTCCAATTCGCGTCGCACGGTCTGAAGCAAGTCCAGGTCGGAGAACAGTCTGAGAACGACCCAAAACGATGTCACGGCCGTGTTGATGATGCCGGCAAACAAAAACGAGAG